GTCCCTGACCCCCTAAACCCTCAACTCTAAGCCCTAAACTCTAATGAACCCCGAAACCTATAAACACTATCAGCCCCATAAGCCCCATAAGCCCCAAAAGCCCCAGAAGCCCCATAAGCCCGATAAGCCCTAGAACCCCAAGACCCTAAACACCCCTACGACCCTAGATCCTCAAACCCTAGCCCTAAACCCTAAACCCTAAACCCTAGAACCCCAAAACCCTAAGAACCCTAAGACCCTGGATCCTCAAACCCTAGCTTGAAGACGTGGCATACCGGCCGCTGCCATGGTGAGGTTCGAGTCTCCTCTCAAGAGAGTTCAGAATTAGACCCGAAAAGAGCGCTTGCGGAGGCCTTATGGAACCCTCTGTAGAGGCTTTAGGAAACCTTTTATAGAACTCTCATAAGGTTCCTAGTTCATGATTGGGATGGTATTAGAGATGTATACCGTATATCTCTAATCCTGAATTGAGTTCAAGTACCCATAAATATGTACAATGTTACCCAACTACGACAAAGCTTCGTATCGCAATAGGGGAATCTTTAAAGGAACCTTTAAACAAACCCTTAGAGGAACCTTCAAAAGGATCCTATCAAGGAGCCCTTAAAGGAACCCTTAAAGGAACCCTCAAAGGAACCTTTAAAGGTCTCCATGGGGCTCGCTGAGGCCCTGACCATTGCCTCAGTGTCGGGTACCTGCGCAGGCTCTATTTGCTTTTGGAGTTGTAAGGTTTGGGGGGTCGGGGTTAGAGTTACAGGGTTTATTAGGGTTTAGTAGGGTCTAGGCTCTGGGGTTATAGGATTTAGGGGTATGGGGTTTAGGGTATAGGGTCCTGGAAGTCCCCAAACAGTGGGGTAAAGTCATGGCCCTACACCTGCACAAGGCTAGCATTGAACATCCTTTTGGGGCGCAGGGTAGACCTCAGGTCTCGGGTTTGGGAGCTAGTAACTTTAGGGTTTAGGGAGTTTAGGGTTTAGGGTTTAGGGTTCACTTACGGGTTTAGGGTTGTTTCCTAGTAGGGCTTCGGGATATTGCTCAACGGACCTGAGGTTTAGGGTCTTCGGTTATTAACCCTTACCTTAAAGGTTTGGGCGAATGCTTAAAATCCTTCATAGACATACCTATAGTCTCCATTGTAGTTCCTTTTTGGGGATACCTTATAAATTCCTTAATATATAATTGGTTAAACCAAAAAAAGGAACTACAATGGAGACTATAGGTAAGGTTTAGGGTTGATGGGTAATGTACCCTGCCTTGGGGTTTAGCGATCTTGCGGCTCTGGGGGGTTCAGGCTTTCGGGCTTGTATGAGCACGGGTCCCCGGGCGCGGCCCCACGATGCTGCAACCAGGGCTCATATGTATGGTCGTAGTTTTGAGCTTGCCGGTTTTCAGGGTTTAGAGGGATTCTGTGATTGCAGAGCGCAAGGTTTCGAGGTTTGGGAGGCACGTGAGGGGCGGTCAGCCGTTTAGCTGGCTTGGTCTTATGGTATGGACTGCTGAGAAAGCACGCCTCGCGAAGTGGAATGGAGTTGGATGTGTTGCCTGCCGGGATGAAAGTTAAGAAGCAGCGCTGCTGTGGACCATCAGCTGCCATGAGCATATGCGCTGTGCATGCCACAAATTCCGGGCTCGATGCTATCCAGTCGATGCTTGCTCTAGGTCACGGTGTTGACAGAAGCGTCAGCAGATTTCGCCTACACTGTGCAAATGCATTACCCATAGGCCCCATCGAAGTGCCTTTTGGGGGTTACCTTAATTATAGGCTTCTATATATGAACCTCAAAAAGGAACTACTTTAGGGCCTATGGGTATCATGTGCCACGGCAGCTGTCTTAAACAAACCAAGACCGGCAGTCAAAGCGGAGCCTCCATGTTGCACGTGCAGGCACATGCCGAAGTCGTCCGGGACGAGGTGCACGCTGCGTTCACCTAAGATGGGGGGGCCTTAATGATTAGAATAGGGTGTTAGGGCTCCTTTATAGTAAATTTATAATAAGGAACCACCAAAGCAGTATAGGTAATTATCTAGGCTTCTATATTCGAGGAATCAAATTCAGAGGGCTATCGACCGGCATTGGTCCTGGCAATCAGGCATCGGCCTCTGCGGATCTGCAGTTGCATCATGAAGTTGAAGTCCTGCACCGGCGGTCCCACAAACGCTGTGCATAGCCTCGTTGTTGTTGATGATGAGTCATGATGAGGTTTATGACGAAGTGAAAGATGATGTTGATGGTGATGTCCACAATGATTATGCATACTATATTGAGTGGCTGCCGTAGGTGGTAGTAGCAGTCGTAGTAGTAGTAGTAGTAGTAGTAGTAGTAGTAGCAGTAGCAGTAGCAGTAGCAGTAGGAGTGGTAGTAGTTGTAGTAGTAGTAGTAGTAGTAGTAGTAGTAGTAGTAGTAGTAATAGTAGTAGTAGTAGTACGACGTAGTAGAGGTGGCACTGGCTGGCACGGGTACTGGTACTAGTACTAGCAGTACTAGTACGAATACTGGCAGCTGCAGAAGGCTTCTGGGGAAGACGAACATGGAACGCCCGACAAGTATGTTCGGCGTGACGATGATGCGAAAGATAACGATGATGAGCATGAGGTTGCGATTTGAGGAATATGCTGATACCTATGGTGGTGAAGAGAACAGTACATGCTTCGACCCGACGATAGGGAGCAGTACCCCGTGCAGCAACTACAATAGGGACGAACGCACCAGGAAGATGGGCACAGCAGGGGCAGAAGACATGCTGGGAACTCGTAGCGAGCAGTTGATCTATAACCCTTAACCATTTTGTGGCCGCAGCAGCAGGCAGAAACAGCCTTGATCACGAGATCATGCCAAGGGGGGGCCAGTCGAAAGAGGGCCGTCCTCTCCAAGGTTGATGTCATTGTACCACCTCAGAGCTGGGGCTAAGGCTGGTTCCAACTCAACATCCGAAGCGACGGCGTTCAAGTCTCAATCCGTCTCTGTTGATGTGGGGCTGCGGGAGAACCTTTACCATCAACTTGGGAAGTTACTAGCGAACCTCGATAACTATATATAGGCCTTACCCAAGGGCTCCTAAGTAGTTCCTTTTAGGATAGTATACTATAATTCCTTACCAAAAAACCATAACAGACCCCAAAAAGGAACTACTTTGGAGCCCCTGGGTAGACTCCTTTGAGTCACTTGTGGACAGATGCTCCGGCAACGGGGACCTGACGTCTGGAGCAATCCAGAACCAGGTTTGCAACATGGATAATATGGGATCTTCCGGAAATTAGGGTACCTTACTTTGAGGTCCTCATAATAAGGATCCTGTTATTTAAGGTACTATCTTAGGGTCC